AGTTATAACATACTTACATATTTCATTTCACTCTTACTGATTATTCTCGTAGCTATACTTATTTTATTCCGTTAGGTATAGTTACTTCAATATATATATAGTCAATTCTTATCTGACTGAGCTTTACTTTATTTTATTCTGTTAGATGGTAGCATGGAGGTGTGTGTTGACATCAAAGGTGGACATGGGGGTGGGTGGCTGTGTGCATTGAGCTGCCTCTCTTGTTGTTTTTGATGCTGGCATTGAGGTGGCAATAGGGAGTTGGCTATGATGGTGTTGACAGTGTTTATATTGCTGGTGGAAGTGCTGGTGTTGAGATGGTGTTGAGGGTGTTTGCTGGGCCAGTGTCAAAGTGGAGCTGCTATGCTCACACTGGCCATGCTGGGATTGAAGGTGCAAGTAAGGATGAACAGCTGTGCTCTTTGCTGGTGTTGGCACCAGTGCTGGGGCAGTGATGGGGATATTGACCATGCTCAAGTTGAGGGTGGAGGAGGGCAATGACATTGAAGGTGCTTGTCTCTTGTTTTGCTATCATTGGTGCTGGTGGCATTGATGAGGGCATTGGCCACCTAACATTGAGGATCAAGGCCATTCCCCACACTCTCTTCACCTTGGCCTATGCACCTTTACATATCTTCACTCTTCATCCACATTCCAGTGTTCATGTGTGCATACATGGCATTTGTGGCAATGTCTGTAGGTGATATAGACACCAGCCCTCATCTCTCTTTGCAAGGAGGGGTGCACAGGGCTGTTACTTCTGTATTGTATAAAATGAGTAAAAATGAAAATGAAAAATGAACATTTACTCCATTGTGGGTGATTAGAAGAGAGAAGAGAGGAGGATGAAAAGGAGGAGCTGTAATTTACATCATGTGTTATTGCCATAAAAGGCAATTTTTTAGATGCTGAAGTGGCAGTGCATGCCACTGACATACAACTTTTGCTCAGTTTTGATGGTGACAGATGGCTCTACTAAAGCTCCCTAAAAGAATGATTTTTATTGCATAAAACTCATAACCTTACTTGTATCTCTGGTACAATGGAGTTTTTCAATTACCACAGTGCTCCAATAGTATTCTGTGAAAAATGGAATAAGTACCACAATTGTACATCTGTGGTAGGTAAATACTTTATATTGATGGAAATCACTGCAAAAAATTTCTGGATGTTCATGAATTGTTGTTGTGGGCATTTGATTTTTGGTAAGGCTCCACTGTCATTTAATTTATTAACCTTTTGTATTTTTAAACTGCACTTCTGTTTGGTGTTTTTATTTTATGTACAAGGCCCTGTAAACAGTATATATGAAAAAGGTATATATAAATGTAGATGCCCTTGTTGGAATTATTATTGCTTCAATATTGATATTTCTTTGGTTCAATTAGCAGTTAAGGCCATTTACTAGCATTTTAAATATTTGTCACTGCTTCCATTTAATTTCAAGACTTCTGTAAAGAAAAAATAAATGGGTAGAGCTTCTTAATGAAACAACCAATCAAAAAGATGATCCTCAACCCTGGCCCCCCTCTCTCTATGTTGATATCTGATAGTGAAACATTGCTGTTAAAATTTAGTTGATGCCAGGAGGTATTTACACTCCCCCACCTACTCTGATCAGATTCTGAGCTGATCTGAGCTGATCCAAGTGATCTGGTCAGAATCTGGTCAGAATCCAACCAGATCCAAAAATCATTTATTTGACTGGTAGTCCCCTATAAATCATCAAAAAATCTGAGCAAATCTGAGCAAATTCCAAAAAAAAAGCTCAGATTCATTGGAAGTGCTTGGAATCCAAGCTGCTCAGAGTTGGTCAGATTACTGAGCTCACCTAATTAAAATCTGAGCTCATCTTAGGTGTGTAATTTAATAAACACCATAAAAATTTGCCAAAAACTGCTAAAAATTATCTAAAATCAGATAAATTAAATAAACAAGACAAGCTAAAGCAAGAGTAAATAAGGGCTTTTTGACTAATAATAATTTTAATCATAACAATCATCAATACATGAGATGTTAAACATATCTTTTATAAAAATACACTTTTACCATAAATAATCTTATCACAGAGGCTCTCTTTCTTCTTCTCATACATACTGGTACTATCAGAAACAAATTCTTCAGGGTTTCTTGACTATTTACAGTTTGATATTTATGAAGCTAATAATGAATTCTATCTGAATAAACTATATGTTTTATATTAGTGCTGTAAGTCATTCTATCTTCATTCTATTTAATAAATTAGGATGCACAAGCATTTCATAACTTTTATTTCTTGGCTAGAAATATTAAATTGATGAATATGATATTAATGCCTTAAGATTTAAATATGTTTCTAGAATTGAATAGGCAATAGGCAAAAGGTAGTAACATGAAGATACATAATATTCATATAGAGTATACAGTTAATACTCAGAGACTTAAATGTGTTTCTAGAATTGTATAGAAAAAGGATAGTGATATGAAGATGCATAATACTAATATACAGAGTATTTAGTGAATATTTAAAGATTTAAATGTGTTTCTAGAATTGTATAGAGACAAGGTAGTGACATGAAGATGCATAATATTAATATACAAAATATACAATTAATACTTAAAGACTTAGATGTGCTTCTATAATTGTATAGAGAGAGTGGTGACATGAAGATGCATAATACTTATATACAGAGTATACAGTTCACAGAAAGTATTATTTATATATATAATTGTAACAAGAGTTGTATAAAAGTAGTAGAGGTTGAGTTGTATAAAACTAATAAATCTTAATAATTTATAAAGCCTCTATGGTTCAGTTGGTTGAGCACCACTTTTTCCAAATTATGGTCATGTGACTTGTTGGCTGACAGGTTGATGGTTCAATTCTCAGTAAATGTATTAATTTTGTGTGTAATTTCTCTCTTACAATCTGAGCTTAATCTGAGTTAAGTCCGCATTAAGTCTGCATTAAATCCAAGTTAAGTCCAAGCTGAAGTGACTCTAAGTTGAATCTGAGTATAAATTAAATCCAAGCTGATCCAAGCTAATCTGAGCTAATCCAAACTAAGATAATAAGACTTCAAAAAAATTATCAATGAAATTAAAATCTGACTGGATTAGCTTGGACACCCAAGCAGCATCCAAGTGATCTGATTGAAATCCAAGCAGTCTGACTGGACTAGGTGGGGGAGTGTAAAGTATTGGATGCCAGCAGGATTTGAACCATCACCCTCAAAGACAAACAGATGAATAATAATAATCGGACATAGTAGCTTAGATCCAAATCTGTCACCATAACCACTTGGCTATAATGCTGTCCATATCACTTGGCCTCTGTTTTATACTGAGAGGGAGGAATCAATGGAAGGGAGAAGATAATGTGTGATGTGAGAAGGAGGGAAAAGAAAGGGAAAGGGGGATGAGGAGCAGAAGGAATGAATGAACAGAGGACAGAGGAGGGTGGGTATTTCATTTTGAATGACATGCTGTACATCAATTGAAATCAAATTGTCAGTCATGATCCTAGTGCAAAGATTACTTAATAGGTTCATTTAGTATGAAGGTGGAAGTATGCAGTATATGATGCAATGAGCATATCTGTAGAGTAGATATTATACATGTAGAAACATCAGTGGTATAGATTGTATGAAAGCTGATAGAGAATGCAGTGATAAGTGACACAAATTAACTGATCTATACAGATGTTCAACATTCTCAGCTTTCTCAGCAACCAACTAACTCTACCAATTCCATTTATCATCTCAAACATCAGCTCCAACAATGCCCAACAACCTTGCATCAGCACAATCAGCAAACATGCTGAGGTGTGATAAATGACTGATGATATTCATTATATGGGTCACTTATGGGCTCATACCCATCAAGACAATGCAGTGGGATTCAATCAAGTATGAGGATTTGAAGTAATTATCCAGCAATATACTGAAACATAACAGCAGATTTAAAAGCACAAGGCATGCAACTATATCTATCTTAACTCAGATTGACAACAGGTTCAAAGAAGTAGATATATGCATGCTATCCTACCAACTGAAGACTGGGACAGCATCCATGATGTGACAGCACCAGAAATAGAGCAAGTGGCTGGTAGCAGAGGCACCAAGAGGTGTGCCAAAGGAGGTGATGCAGTTTGAGTACAGCTATGATGTGGTTTGGGTACTGATGCCATTGGTAGTGGGCCTGATAGAGGCACTGATGCTAGGCCCACCAACCATGGTCATACCAAAAGAATATACATTACCATGGATTCCAGTTGTTGTATTGCAAGGATCATTCACTTTGATTATTTCAGGAGCTAAATATCTATCATTGACAAAGAATTATCAATTAACATATCCAATCCTAACAATCCTAACAGTAATACAATTACCTGTCCATTGTAAATATAGGTGTAGTAAAATGTATGTTATCCAAGACTCTTGCTCTTGTTAAGCCAGTAATTTTGGCAGTAAACAGGGGCTCTGCCAAGCTCATGACACTGACACAACAGTATACATGGAGTCCATGTACACTCCATATCAGCTATTTTTGAGGTCATGACACTAACCCATAAGTATACATGGAGTCCTTGTAGACTTTAGGGATTATATGTGGAGTCCATGTAGACTTCATGTAGACTAATTTTGACTAATTTTGGGTGTTGCCCCCCTCAGGCCATGTACACTTAATGTACACTGAGTCCACTTATTCCATGTGGATTCCATGTGGATTCTTCCTTTTATGGAGGAGTCCATGTAGACTCCTTTGTCATTCCTTCCTCAAAGTCCTTGTATAATCCATGTGGACTCCTGGTGGACTAATAATGGTTTCTTAAATTTGTTGATTCATATTGTTAATCCTATTCTTACAGCATTTTTAATGTTCTAAAAATGATAATATATTACCTAATATTATTCTGTGCCATGCACATTGCATGGCTTCATTGTTTGCTGCTATCTGACTAACAAAAGTTTCTTAATAAGAGTTTTTGGACTTATATCCATTTATTACAACAATAAAAAAATCAAGAAATCAAGAAAAACCAAATATAACCAGGCAAGTCCTAACAGATATAAGTAAGGTTGTTTTAACTGATACTGTCTATTACAATAATGATAAAACTTTAGTAGAAATCAAGAAAAATTAATGCAAACCAAATAAACCCATATAAATCAGACAATTCTAAACACATATAAATAAATGTTGTTTGCACTAATACTATTTATTAGAATTATGTAAAGTCAAATATGTACAAATAAAAAGATTAAAATAAATCAGTAAAAATATAAAAGATAAAATAAAACCAGATAAGCTCATATAAGAACAACTAAATTTAGTTGATTTAACTAATGCCATTATTAAAATAGTGATAAAATATTTTTAAAGAACAAATTAAATATAAATTTTAGTATAAATAAGTTAAAATAAAATAAAAAGAGAGAACCAAACAAGTCCAAACATATATAAATTAAGGATTAAAACAGTGATATAAATCAAAGAATTTTGACTAACAAATTAAACATGTAAAAATTAATCAAATCACAAAACTTCCTTATAAATCAGTTAAAATAAGAGAAATAAAACCAAACAAGGCCAAACAAATATAAATAAGACTTATTGCTTTTGATTAATACTAAACCAAATAGATACAAATAAGATTTTCTTTCAAAGCCAGGAGCATTATATATCCACTTTCTATATAAACAAACATTTAATACACAGGTTGGATACATCTTCTATTATTCATGGATTATATATTGAAATTAAATCCCTTTACAGGGATGTGAGCAGTTGAATGTTTGGACTAGAGGCTTTTTTTCATCTGTCAATGATAAATGTTGAGAATTTTAATTGGACCATGCATTCATTATTATTTATTCATACCCAGCAAATTATCAAAAAACAACAAGTGAAGAAAAGAAATAATCATCATGCACTAGAAGCAGAGGAGAGTGATAAGAATGAAGAGATGAATGAAAAAATGGTCAATATTAACAGGATACTGTTTTGTCTATATACAATGCCCTATTACTTATTAGAGTATACAAGAAGTTTATATATTCATTGTAATAAATAGTAAATCATTTTATAATCCTTCAGCAGTCTATGTGGAGTCTACATGGAGTGTACATACTACATCCCAGTCTATATAGCTTTGGAAGCCTGTATATGACACTCCCCCATAAGTATATATGGAATCCTTGTATACTCCATGTAGATTCCTTAAAGTATACATGGAATCCTGAAAGTCTACATGAAATTTATGTATACTCTATGTAAACTGTATATTCCATGTAAACTTTATCATATGTTTCCATGTACACTCCATGTACACTCCATATGGAGTACTGAAGAATTATGAAATAATTTACCATTTATAATAAAATAGGATATTGTATCTAGACAAAATATTATCCTATTAATATCAATCATTTATCCATTCATCTCTTCATCTTCATCACTCTCCTCTACTTCTGGTATATAATGGTTATTTCTCTTCTTTTCTTGTTGTTTTTTGATAATTTTTTGAGTATGAATAAATAATAATGAATGCATGGTCCAATTAAAGTTCTCAACATTCATTTTGTTGACAGATGACTGAAAGCCTCCAATCCAAGCATTCAATTGCTCACATGCCTGTAAAAGAATTTAATTTCAATATATAATCTATTAATAATAGAAGATGTATCTGACATGTGTATTAAATGCTCATTTATAGTGAGGATTTCCTTGCTTATCATTTTCCACAATTACTAAGTTAGGTGCTGACCATTAAGTGATGCTGGATTGCACCACTTGTGACAGATATAATCTGTAGTGTGATGATTAATATAATGATATGAATCAACAACAAAGCGTGTGGTTTGGCCCCAAACATCCCATGCACCACTTTGGACAGCAGAATGGAGCACAAGACATGCTTATCAATGCAGACATAATTGGGTTGCAAATCTGAGGTTGGATAAACTAAATCCAAGAATTCTATATTATTGGTAGGTGATTCAGCTTTTGCAAATTTGGTCTATGCAATTACAACACCACAGGGTGCACAGATTGTTTCAACACAATAAAAACAAGGTGCAATAAAATAATTTGAGTGCTGCTGATTAGGTGCCTGAATTTCATCATATGCTGGTTGCTGTCTATTGACTTGAGGAAGCCAAGGATGTTGTTCCTCTTCTGAACATCTAATAATTCTGCAAATTCCAAGTAATGTCTGCTGTCCAAATCTAATAATATGAGAATGCCAATTATTTTGATGGTCTTGGCAAGTTTGAGAATCTTCTATCTTGTCATGAACCATTTATTTTGATTATTCTTTTCTTTTTCTTTTCTAATTATTAGAACAGTTTCTATAATTTCAATGACAAAGACAAACAAGACAGCTCATATTATGACATGAGGATAACATACAGTAGCAGCATTTATTTCATTCCGATCCTATATTAATTACATGCTTGTAACGCATGTCTGCAGTATGCAGCCGCAGTGCACAGTAGATATATTACTTATGCATGTTTCCCTCATTCTTGACCATGACTTAGTTGCACCTTACGTGCATGGCCTTCTAGTATATATAGTAGTAGTTTATGTTCTTATTCTGTAGTCTTTAGCTGGTCGTTTCTTACCGCCAATACAAAGGTCTCTACTCCTCACTCCTCCTTCTCTTCTTCTCTTTAAGTTGATAGTTTGCATATCAACCTCAGCACTCTCTTAGTAGATTGTGTTGACATGCCTGACATATCTGTGGATTATTGCAATTTTTTATGCAACATAATCCAAGATGTAAAATATCATGCTCTGCACAAAATACATCTCATTGTACATTGGCAATAGATTGAGTACAGTCATCATATGCACAATGCTATATTAACATATTATTTTTGAGGATATATATATAGATTTAAATTACTTACTGTTGGTCCTGTTACAATTCCATCTAATACAACCAATTTAACTGGTGAATTTTCAAATTCAGAAGAGTTGTCATCAATATCCATTGCATTTTCAGCCTCTAATTGTGCATGGGCAGCTTCTTGAGCAGCAAGATCTGCATTATCACGAGTCAGAATGGGAACTTGTCAATTTTCATCAACACCAACTACAGCTGCTGGATCATCACCAGTAATAATGTCTGCAGTTCTTTTGTACTTATGAGTACATTCATCACAAGAGTGGTCTTCAGCATTTCTGATTACTCCATTTTCACCAAGTACAGAAAATGCATGTCTGGTAACATCATTGATTGGCAAACCATCCAGAAGCTCCAAAGATGTATTTGAGCCATATGCTACTTGCCAGATGGTTTCTTGGA